ATGTCTATATGATTCTGAGCAGAGGGGCAAAGAGCTGAGGTTCACAGCTTTGCATTTTGGCTCTTTCAGAGGAATATGTGAATATGGAAAAGCCATTTTATCTTCCGTGCTACGCTGATAAAGTGCCCTTCTTGTTCTTTCTCGGTTATACTTTTCCTGAACTCACAGACAGACCTGTCCCTTGGCAGGTAGAAAGAAGAAATCGCCAGCAGTACACACTGATGAGATGCCTTTCAGCAGTGGAGCTGTGCAAATAACAGGGTTTTCATTTCAGTGGCTGCATGGAAAAATTGCAAATACTTTCTGTTTTGGGTCACCCCCTAAAGGAGAATGTTTCTTTTCTTCTTTGATTTCTTTTCATAAGCATTGCACGAGACATTCTGGTTTGAGGTTACTCAGTGCTATTCATAACTAAATGAAGAAAAAAGAGAAGAAAAAGCAAACTAGGTCACTTCCAACCCCCAAAAGTCATTTGCAAGAGCAACCGAAAAAGTTTTACTTTTTAAATATCAAAATGGAGCCTTGCAGCTTTTCACAGAGCTCTTTTCTCCTCTTCCAGCTCAAACTAATTACATCCAACCCAAATTCCCCCAGAGCCACGGTACCTCTGAATTGCACTGGAGGTGAATTTGCTACACCAGAAGCCTCCAGGCAAGCTCTGCCTGCACGCGGCAGTGACCAGTCCTGTTTGCTGCTGAGCAAGTGCATCCCAAGTGTGTAATTCTGCTGCATCAAAGTGTTGAGCAAGAGACCATGAGAAATGACCTCTCGCAGGCCTGGCCAGCCAGGGAAGCACCAGCACAGCCATGCTTCACCCTGGTGAGACCCAGCTGGGGCAGGGGCTTGGGTTGTGCTGTTCCAATAGAATTTGCAATATAGAGTCATGGAATACAAGGTTGGAAGGTACCATAAGGATTATCTGGTCCAACCCTCCTAGTCAAAGCATGACCCACAGTAGATGGCCCAGCACTTTGTTCAGCTGAGCCTTAGATGTCAAACACTGGGGAGTCCAACACTTCTCTGGGGAGATCATTCCAATGGCTGGTTGTTTGCAATGTGAAAAACTTCCCTCTTGTGTCCAGTTGGAATCTTGCCAGGTGTAACTTGTGCCCATCACCCCTTGTCTTTTGCATGTGACTCCCTGTAAAAAGACAGTCTCTGTGTTCTTTGTAGCCACCCTTTAAATACTGGAACATGGTGATAAAGTCTTCCCTGAGCCTTCTTTTCTCTAGGCTGGTCAAACCCAGCTCCCAGCCTTTCCTCACCTGGCAGCTTCCCAATGTGGCAATGTGGAGCTGATGCCCTTCCCCACACCCCCCTCCAGCTGCAGCATCTTCCCCTGATGGGATGGTGGCTGGGAGGTATCAGTGCTCAGGGAGTGCAGTGCTGTAGCTTGACTGTGCTTTGCTTCCCTGGGGAGACAGGGCCCACCCATCTGTTTGTTTTCCTGGCTCCCTCAGGAAACGGTTTTGGTGTGATGGTGTCCCCCCATCCCTACCTGCCCATTCCTCCCAGGATATCCCAGAACTGGCGTCCTGGTGGCATTACATTACAACAAATTCCTATAAATGATGGTGATGGATATCAGAGGTTGAACAGAGATACAGAGCTGCCAGTGTGGGGGCTCTCAGGGGACTCCACTGGTGCCATTTGGGGTCTGGGCTTACCTCAGACAGCATTAGGGAAAGTTCCCGTTGTCACCTCCTCTTCAGCATCCTCCCACAGAGGTAAAAAAGCCCTGCGGTAACTTTTTGTTGCATCCCAAAAGTTGTGTGCTTCCTTGGTAAATTAGAAGTTGTTGAAGCTGGAAGGACTCTATTCCCTTCCAAATCCACGTAATTCTGAAAATTCAGGGATGCACAGGTCCAAGGGGTCTGGGAGTGAAAATGTCCCCACTTATCTCCATAGATTCCCAGCTGCAACAAACCTGCAAATAACACTGACTGGCTGAGAGTCAGGGAAACAATCCAGTTTCTACACCAGAAAGGGACTTCTTGGGATTAGGAGCTCAGGTTTTAACTGCTCAATAATCTCCATCCTTCTCTGATGGCTCACAGCCACTGCTCCAGGACTGGGGCAGCTACAAGAGCCAAGCAGCCAGTGGTAACATTGGACTGTAATGTGTAACTGATCGCTCTCAGCCTCTAACTCCTGTCCATGAAAGGGCTGGGATGCAGGAACAAGGGCCAGCACCCCAGCCTGCTGCCCTCACCAGCCAGGACCCTAAAGTGGTTGGTTTGGGCACATAGAGCCAAGCCACACATCCCCGATGGATGTCCTCATGGTACATCACCCCACTCAGAAATAAAACCCTATCCCTGCAAATATCATGAGGAATTAGGAATAACTAAGCATCGGTCAAGCTGAAAACAAAAAATGGGAGAGGTCCAAGCACTGGTGCCTTTTTGACATGGCAGGGAGACTTGTGCATGTGCTAAGTTGAGAGTTGGAAGAGCCAGCTATTCCTTGGTCCTATAGTGCCCCATTTGGGCATTTTCCCTCCATTTTTTGTTCCTTTTCCCTTTTTCCTGCAACATTGATAGACATTTTCCCCTGCTGGGGTAAGCTACCCAGCAGCTGGCCATGGTGTGGGCCACAACAGCACTCAAAGTGTCTTCTGGTTATTCCCCAGAGAGAGCGGCAGGAGGCATTGTGAGCAGATCTTTGATGCTGCCAGTCAGAGATGGACCCTGGTGAAAACTGGAAGCTGGATGAAACCAACTGGTTGTCTCATGGTGGGATCCATCCCTTTGCCAGTGTGAAAGGAGGTAGGACGTCATTGCTGGTTTTTAATCCACCCAGTGAGCATCCTGAGAGCCTTCCTGATGTGCTGCTGCCATTCACTGTGCTATGTCTAGTATGAAGGTGGGAAAGGTCTGACCCAAACTGCAGTATCTTGCTGGCACACTGGCACTGCTGCTTGGTCTGTGGCTTGCCTTCCTTCTCTGGGATGGGATTTGCCAGAAAAACCCACCCAAACCAACAAACCCAAACACCAACCTTTTGGCAAGTTAATATTCCACTTGTGCTGGATGTGACCACCCTCATTCTCCCCAAGCGGGACTCTGCAGAGGGAGGGGTGAGGAGCAGAGCTGGTAAAATGTTCCCTTCTCTCTCAATCCTGGTTGTGTGGCACAATTTAGGATGGCTCCAGAGAAACATGATGTCTCAGGAGAGACAGGAGGGATGAGGGATGTCCCAGCTGGGGCTCCTTGTGCAGGACCACATAAGCTTTCAGCCCACCTTAGTATGACCTCCCAATCCAAGGCTGGGTCTGTCGCTCCCCATAAATTGCCAGTCTCAGCAAAGCACTCAGGGCAGATACAATGGGAAGGAGCCAGCAGATCTATTTCCTCTGTCAATGAATCTCTACCCAATATCCACCGTGCTGTAATTTGCTTTTTAACCCCCATGCAAACATTGGGCAGAAGCAGCCACATGTGCTCCCTGCTCATCTTTGTCACCGGAGCTCCCTGTCCCAGCACAAACTGTCCCTCCTTGGGCAAAGTCCCTTCTTTAGCTGGGACACGCTGTGCCCCAGGCTAACACCAAAGTAAACCCAGAGTCTTCTGGATGACAGCACCTTGGGAACGGAAACATTTTGCTTTGGTAAAATGCTTTGCTTATCTCCATCTGTTTCCCTCAGCTTCCTGCCGATAGCCCGGATGCCTGGGGAAGGGGAAAGGGACAGTCTGGGATGCGGCATCGCCTCCTTTTCTATGTGAGCTGGATTAGATAAGTAGGTTTATGCTACTGAAGCCAGCAGCCCTGGGTTCAGTCTCCCCAGCCAAGCACCACTGGGTGGCATTGCCTGCTTTTGCAGGTATCCAGCGCAGGGTGGCTCCAAGGACCAGCACACAGGTGCTTGCTGCAGCCCATCCCTTTTCCCCAGTAGGACCATTTCTGCTTCTGATATCTCTTGTAAACCCTCACCTTTTGCATGGTCTGTGTTACTGTTTGTAGCTGTAGAGGTGAAATTCAGGATCCCACTGCGCTTGGGTCTGTAAAGCAGGGCAGAGTTAAACGTGGTGTACACAGCCCACTGCTATCCTAAACAAGTGTCTCACATCTTCTTCTAACTGATGGACCTAGCAGCATTTCATAGTGGGGACAAAGATCTCTCAGAAACGTCACAGATATGGATTACCGTAGGGTGTCATGCGTCTGCCCTTCTTAAACATCCTTCTTCAGCCCCCTAGGAACAGGCCACAGGTTCCAAACCAAAAGGTTTTCTAGTCTGACCCATTGTACAGACCAAATGCCATGAGCCTGAAAGGAAAAAGAAAACAACCACCAAAACCCCCAAAACCAACAGAAGAACCCCTACCCTCTGCATTTTCTTTTTTAAATTGAGTTTTTGTAGTTTAGCATCATTTTGACATTGCAAGAAATGATTGAAAACAACGGAATCCCCACCAGTTCCAAGGATCAAATGGCATTTAGCACTTGGCCACATTCTGTTATGCAGCTGTGTTTCTTTCTGGCAGCGAGGAATCCGTGTGTGCTATGTTCTGCAGCTGGGAGCAGATAAGAATGGGTGGGCTCATGGTGGGATTGGTCTTGGGATCCAAAATAATCTCCCACAAGATTTTGGTGAGAGATGCCACCAGCTCAGGGGTTTCCAGAGCCCGTGGTCCAGCCTGTCACAGGCACTGAGTTACAGCAATGTTATCAGGTGAATGCAGCCTGCTCAGCCTCTGAAGGATCCCAGCTGGAGCATTTCCCACTCTCACTGGTTAGACCTCCTCCAGCTGCTGTTGGAGGGGACTGTGGTGTGCTGAAAAGCTTCGCTGCAGGCAGGATGCTGCTGGCCATGCCCTGAGCACTGGGCGAGCCAGGAAAAGGGAGTGGAGAACTGTGGCATAGCCAAAACGTGGAGCACGGCTGAGGATCCCAGTGTGGGCAGAGACAGGGCAGCAGAGCCCATTCACTGGTGCTGGAAAAGGCATAAGTCTCCACCCTGAGCTGATTCCAGGTTGTTTCCAATAACATGCATATGAAGGCTGTCGGGGTGAACTGGAAGCGAGTTGAAAAGGGGCTTATCTGCAGTTTGATTTGAACTGTTGTCATCCCAGCTCTCCACATCTCCTCTGCAGCTGATCTTTCTTCTTCCCTCAGACAATGAGCTCTCCGAAGGTGCCCCAGCCCTCTTTGCTCTGGATCAGCTGGGTAAGTCCATGCACAGCACACTTTCCTCTTCCTTTTTGACAATGTAGAATAACTAGGAGATGGCTTAAAACACAAGGCAGCCACTGAATGCTTTCAGCTGCATAGATTTGTCACCACTGGTGCCTTCTTTCTGTGTTGCTTTTGAATGCCATCCATCAGATGTGTTTAGTGCCTCTCTGTTAAATTGATGCAGGTTTTCTTTCCTTTGGGAGAGAAGCTGTCACCTTTGTGGTGCAAAGCACTCTCAGATAATGATGCTGGGGGGGGGTGGGTTAGGCTTAGCCCGTGGCTGGCACTGGAGCTTCTGTGACTTTCTGGTGTGTTGCAAGATGATGAGGGCTTTTTTAACCCAGAAGTGAAGACACACAGGGAGAAAACAACCTCAAATTGGCATGGGAAGCTGAAGGCTTCAGAGGCTGAATCCATGGGGAAACCCTATCTGGTGGCGACCTTCCCTTAATGCCAGGACCAAGGTCTAAAACAATGTTTGTCTCAGGACGAGTTAGAGGTTCTCAAGGTAAGGAGGGAGTGAGGATGAACCGCATGGTAGGAAGCCTCTGCAGGAGGTCTTCTGGCCACCTAGACCTGGAAATGTGATGTGCAGGGAAGGGGGAAATCAAGCCCCCAGCCCCTCCTGGGAAAATGGGTGAAGGCTGGAGAAGGAGCATGCTAGGAAGTGTGGATTAGATGTGTTGGGAGAGACACAGGGCTCAGGTCAAGAGCAGTGCACCCTGCCTTGCTCGACGGCATGGTGGGGCTGCCCCAACACACTGATGCCCATCATCTTACATGACCAAACACCAGCTCTTCTTCCCAAGGAAAAGGAGCCCTTCACTTTCAGGGCAATGAATTCTCCATCCTTGGACATATTCAAAAGCTGTCTGGACATGGTTCTGGGCAAGCAGCTCTAGGTGGCCCTGCTGCAGCAGGGGGGCTGGAGCAGATGGCCTCCAGAGGTCCCTGCCAACCTCAACCAGCCTGTGATTCTCTAATGAGGGCTTGTCCCCAGTAAGGGTTGTCTGTGTGCACCCACCAGCATGCTCACCACACAGGGCACTGTTGGAAACTTGGGGTAAGAGCAGAAAGCTGCAGGAGCCCAGAATGGTGATTTCTATCGTGTGCAACTCTCTCTGCTGTAAACCTCTGCTGCTAAGAGCCAGGTTCTTGAGGACATTCCTGTAAATACAATGATGCTTATAAACTGTACGATGCCTCGCTGGTGCTGAAGGGGTGGAAGGGAGGGCAGCTGTCCTCACTGGCAGTACCTTACACTTGGTTGCATTTTAAAGGAGCCCTTGTGAGCTCTTTCCACTTGGTGTCAGGATAGAGACTGCTCTGACACGCGTCCACCCAGAGGAGTGTCTAGCAGGGAATAAAGCCAAAAGCCTTCCCTTGGCTGCCTCATTCATTACCCGATTGCAGTTAAAACAAGTCAAGTAACTTTAAAACGTGTTTTCTGTGACACGGTTTCCACCAGCTCTCTTTCTTCTTGGTCTTCAGCATCTTATCCCTTGAAGGGTGCCTTCCCTCAGAGACATGCGCTCATTTCTTATAACTTTGCCCCCCCCCAAGTCTCAGCAAATGTATTCAGTGACAAAGAACAAGCTTCCTCTCCCAAACAACAAGATTCGTTTGGTTTCACTTGAGCAGCAAATGCATTAGCAGCTGGACAGATGGCTTAGATGGGCAAAATAAGGCTCTTGGTGACCCCTGGTCAAGGGGCTGGACCCTAGAGGGGCAGGAATCAGGGCTGAAACATGGGACAACCGGCTTGCTGGCATCCTCCTCATCCTAATGGGGAAATAATCTGTGCCATCCAGTGTGATCCATTGCCCCCTGCGGTGGTGGTTGGCATCTGCCAGGGCTTATGCACAGCCCCACTCCCACTCAAGGGGAAGCAGGAGCAACTCGAACACCGCTTCCATCTGCACAGCAGTATTAGACATCCCTCAGTCTGGAACAGTTATTCGAACCAGTGCTTGTATCACCTTACATTTCCGCTCTGCTTTCCAAGATGGGATTGCTCCATCCAAGGTAGACAAGACAGACAAAGGATGTGAGATAGCAGAACAAGCAATGGAAAACCAGTCTCTCCCCTTGCCTCCCTCCTGGCTGGTGGGTTTTCAGCTGGATCAGCCTCCTAACCTGAGTCATGTGCAGCTGTGTGTTTTGTGGTGCCAGGCAGTGATGAGGGGGTAAGAGCAAGCACGTGTTGGAGGGGGAGAGGACAAGACAACCCCAGTAACAGCTTGAGTTTATGCTGTGTTGCAGTGATTGTGTAACCAGCACCTGAGAATGCCAGGCCAAAACCACACAGCCCTGGTCAAACCAGCTACCTGAACAGCAGGAGTTATTAGTAAGGGAGCTGGGAATAAAGCAGCATTATAATAACAACATCCTGAGACAAAACATCAATACCATAACAAAACATCACCATCATCTAAGCCACAGAAAGGCAGGTCTGAGCAGAACTCCAAGAGTTTAATACGCCTCCTTCCTGCCTCAAGGCAGGGCTTGTGTCTCCTTTCAGCCATCACCCCAAGTGGAGGACCAGCCTGTTCCAGCAGCTTTCCCAGGCTTCACTGCACTGGAAGGGTTTTCTCAGTGTCTAATTAAATTCCTGCAATTTAAGCCAGTTACACATGGCTCAAATGGAGCTTGGTCCGTACACATGGCTTCCATGGCTCAAACAGGGAGTTTCTTGTCCTGTGTGGGGACTCTGGGAGGAGGATCCTACTGGAGGATCACATCGATCTTTTCCTGCTCATCAAGTCTTCCTTGACCTCTAGTCCTGTGTCCAGCTTTCTGGCAGCTTGTCCCAGCCTGCTGGCAACTGCAAACAGAAGAAGCTGTGCTTGGATTTTGAGTCATTCGTGGAAATGCTGATCAGGACCAGATTTACAACAGGCTGTTTAGTGTTGCTTCATGCCATGAGTAACTAACCTCCAAGAAACATTTTGATCTTCATGCATCCATCTTCCCAAGAGAGTGTCCCATCTCTTGTTTATAGTGATACCGTATGACCCAGTTACCACAAGTCTTACTTGTATGCCAACATATATGGCATCTGCACACCCCCTCTCATATATAAAGCTTATTACAGAAGAACAGATGAGTCTGACCAGCTCTGTTCTTACTGAGTCTGCACTGGTTATTACTCATATCCTCCTTTTCTACATGTTTGCAAAGCCTTTCGTTGTTTCAGTGTTTCCAAGGATGGAATTAACAATGGCTGGGAAATCACCTCCTGACTCTTCTTTCTGTCCTTGTTGTAAAGACTGGTGCTCTGCTTGCCATGCCCAGCCTTCGTAAACCTCTCTGTCATCTGCTGCTGTATAAATCAGCACAGGTTTCTGAGAGTCCCTCAAGAAGCCTCAGGCAAGGGAGGCAAAGGTGACTGAGGGACAGAGCAGACACAGTAAACTACAACTCAAGGATGGGGAAAAGAGATGCTTGAAGGAGGATACAGTAAAAGTACAAGAATGATGAATGGCATAGGAGTAAATAAGTGCAAGAGAGACACCAACATACTAGAGATACTCCAGTGAAAGGGCACAAGGATGATAAAAGGGACTGGAGCATCAACCCTGTGAGAAAAGGCTGAGAGAGATGGGCTTAATCAGCGTGGAGAAGTGAAGGCTCTGGGGGATCTCATCAGTAAATACCTGAAGGGAAGGTGAAAAGGGCTTGGATCCAGGCTTCAGTGGTGCCCAATGCTAGGACCAGAGGTACAACCTGAAACACAGGGGGTTCCCTCTGAGCATCAGGAAGCACTTTTTCACTGTGGGGGTTACCAAGCACTGGCACATTTTGCCTTGGGAGGTGGTAAAGTCTCTGTCCTTGGAGGAACCCAAAAGCCATCTGGACATGGTCCTGGACAACTGTCTGTAGGTGGTTGGATGAGGATGGCTCCAGAGGCCACTTGTGACCTCAACCAGTCTGAGATTCTGTGATATTAGAAAAGGCTTAACCCAACCCAAAGGCTGTGTCTTCGCACAGTGCAGTTACACTGTACAACTTGCTACCACAAAATGTCCAGCGTGCCAAAAGTGTGAATGGGCTGAAAAAGTGATTAGAAAACATCGTGGAAGAAAAGTCTGTGAAAGGCTCTCAAACCTGGTGATGCAGCTACAACCTCTGGCTCAGGAAGGGAAACGGGATCACCTGTCAGAGGAAACAGCATTTGTAGTGTTCCTTGTATTTTCTCTGGAGACACATTCCAAAGGCCGTGTCAGAGGACACCAGGAGCTCTTAAACTTTTATATAGGCCAGCATGGTCCTTCTTGCTTTTCTTTAGGTCTGCAGTGACTAGAAGAGAGAAACCCAAACCAAACCCACACCTCCTCTTCCTTTACTTTCTTCATCCGTGTTTCCTCTCCCACAGCTCAGGCTGTGGGATTTCAGCAGATATGAATCAGATGGTGACGGTTGTGTTCCTTTTGTTCTGTAAATGATTAAAACAGAACGTTTCACACTTGCTTTGTGGCCCAGCAGAGGAATTCTGCATTGTCTCCTTGGCAAGTCCGGAGGTGGAATTCTGGCCATGGAGAAAGTGAGGTCAGGGAGAGAGAAACTCTCCCAACAGGGAAACATGTGCAGACTGCTTCTCTGTCTCTCCGGTACTTGGCATGTCTTCTCCCTGTCTTCCATTCCCTCATCCCTCCCCTCTTTTCCACCTCCTTCTCTCCCCACTGGCAATTCTTCTCCTTGCTGCTTTTAGATGATTTAGCTGAATATCAGGGGAAAAAAAGAAAGAAGACAGATTGAAAAATGCAAGGTGAAACCCCCATCCCAGAAAGTCTTGGAAAGAGTAATGGGAATGTGGTGAAATGGAAAAATTAGATGGAAGTGGGGGGTACGAAACCCACCCTTCCAAAATCAAGATGAAAATGCTTGTGTAGGAGCTGCGGTCTCTCAGTGGAAACCCCTAGGACCTGTGCCTCACATTTCCTGACAGCTGAGCAGAGGAGGGATTAGCTGCCTGCGCTATTTATACGTGC